TTTCTTTTAACTTACATTATTTTATAATTCATAAACCATTATAAAATATTTCTTTTCAGAATAATTCTATTAAATGAACAGTGCTTAATTTATTTTAAACTGTTACAAGTGTTGATTTTAACAAATTGGGCTCCATATTTTAGACATTAAATTTATTTAAATGATTTTTATTATTTATTGATTTATGAAATATAAATCAATAAGCAATAAAAACTATCACCTTGAAATCAGATAAATTCTAATAATAAAATATATGTAATAAATATTTAAAATACCATTAACTAACAACAAATAAAATTTAAAGAATATATTATAATTTCCTATCCTGCCAAAATTTACAATTACATAGTTTAAAACATGACCATGAATTTTTCTGCTACATTAAATCTAATCTTGCAATATATGCAATATATAAATATGACAACTGTATTTTTTATGTAATGGTCCTTAAAGTTTCATTATAAATGCTTCTAGATATGAAATTATTATTATTATTGTTAATTTGAAATTATTATTTTTAATAGAATTGTGTTAGAATTTAACATTATAATCATAAAAAATACTAGTATAGGCCTATGTAGATAGATAATTTGCAAATATCATCTACATTGAAAATTTTGTATAATGATGTTTCATTTGATAATTAAACTTTGATTGTGTATAGAATTTTAAATATTAACCCTAATTAACAAAGTAACTACAGTTAGTTTTCTTAATTCAAGATTTTCATAGTGTACTTTGAAAGGATATCTTAATAGTAAGTAATATTGACATTATTGGTCCCTTTAATTTTTAAACCCAGAAAATTTTATTGTATTGCAAGTAATTATTGGTTTTTTAGACTTTTTAATAAATTAACTTAGTGAAATAGTTGTGAAATTTTCATGTTTATTAACCAAAATTATTAAAATTTTTAATGAATAAATTTGAATTAATGTTTTATAAGGAAATAGAGATTTAATAAAATTATAAAATATTTTTCAATCAAAATATCAACATAACTAATTGAAAAATGTAGATATATATATAATAGATAATACTCAATTACAAAATTTTGTAGTTCGTAGTTTTGTAATCTACTGCATTAATAGAAATTTAGAAGTGAAAAAATTATTAAAAACTGTATTGTTATTATGTACAAAATTTTGAAGTAAATAATTACAAATGAAATAGAGTAAATACATACTGTCAAAGAACATAGCTAGAACAGAAAATGAGAATATTTAATTGCTAGTAAAATAAGCCTTAAATATTACTTTTGTTTTAGAAAGTAAATTGGAAAATTGTAATTTTGATTTAAATTGTCTTCCATAGATACAAGATTAGCTGAAGATTTTTGAATTGTAGCAGCTTTAAATAAAAGTGAAAAATTATTGAATCATAGAAGAAAGAAGGAAGCATCATACTGTCTTTTACAAGAAATAATAATAATGTAAAGTATAAAAAGCAGACTGGTCCCAGTTAATGTTAGTGCATCCATGAATTTTTAACTTTAATCGTTATTTTAAAAAAATACAATATATATTAAAATGAATTAAAATTATGAAGTATTTGCAGTTTTGTTTTTATTCAGTTGTTGTCCTGTAAACAGGAAATATATTTCTAAAGGTATGCTTTACTTCTAAGAAAAATATTTTCCCCTTTGCATAAAGTCTAAAAATTTAGACTTTATGACTAAATATTCATGTGTAATCATTTTTATATCATTACAATAGCCCAACAGCATACTGTGGTTTTAAAATATGTTTATATGCATTATATTTTCAACTAAATTACTTTATTCTAGATGATGGCAGTAATGAAGGGAAATAAAAATGTTATAAAATTGTATATAATTATTTTTTTCATACAGCAAAAGTATTACAGTGGAAAATATGCAAACTGAGAATCTCTTAGTTTTAAAAAGACTGTATAACTATACTAACTATATATATTTTAATACAATTTAAATTATACACAATGTTACATATTCTAAAATAAAGTATACTTAAAATTTCTTTTTACTTTTGACTCTGCCATGCCCACCATGGATTTGGCCAGATTCACAATGAATAGTATTTTACGTGTTTTAGTGCATATTATATTTAAAAATTATTAATTCTTATTTCTTTTTGAATTATGTGATTGTATAATGAAATATTTTAAATTATTATGTAAAATTAAATTTTCTCCAAATTCTAACAGTTTTTAGGTTTATAAAAGATATCAACTTGTGTTTTTGTTAAACGTGTAAAACAATACAATATAACTGAAATATAAACTTCAAACTTACTAAGTATGATGAACAAATAAATATATCAAGAATATTTCACACACATTATAATTGAAGTTTGTAACATTATATTGTAAACCAAGAATTGTAATAAAAATAATTAAAAATAACCCCAATCTCATAAATGACAGTTACATCATATGAAAATAAACAATCTGTTCTTTCTATTGATATAATTACAAGTACAAATGCAGAAAATTCATGTATTTTTAATGAAAATTTGAAATTACTGTTTGTGATCATTTTCTAAACAATAAAAATTTATAGATAAACTTTATTTAAAAGAAAAGTCTGAGAATTTTTTAAAGTTTTTAATTTGTATTAAAGTTTAATATCTCTTCATTTATATATTATTGTTTTCCCCTCTTGATTATGCTAATTATAGCCATTAGAAAGAAATTGTTTGCTTATGTATAACATATATTTTTCTTTTAATTCATTGCTAACTAAATTTAATTTAAAAATACAGCATTTGACAATGAAAGTTCTATCACTTAAAAAAGTTGATTTTTATTTAAAACTGGAAAATGATATAAACAGAGATTCATTTGATCAATGATTAACTTATTTTGCTTGTACTCAGAGTTAATAGAAACTATTTATTTTTGAAAATATATCTTTAGCTGTTACATATGACAGTTTATTTGAATATTTATTAATCTGAACTTTTTAAAATCTAAACACATTTGCATTGTTCATTTCAGATTATTGAAAATGTATCCGAAATTACTACTAAATATTTTGATAACCTACATAAAAATTAAAAGCATAAAAATTTACAAGATAATTAATTTTTCATCACAGTTTCATTAGAAAAGATATCTTCTAAATACAGTACAGCTTACTTAATAATGAATAATAATATCGAAATTAGTAGATCCCAAAATTTACAACTTAACATACAATAACAGCAATAAGTTTCTATAATCTTTTGGTGAAGTCTTTTACTCACTCAGATTAGGATTCATTTAATTTAAACTGATGTCAATAAGTGATTACAATAAGCAGAATCTATTGTATAATATAATTTAGATTAATTTTCACATTAACTATTATTATATTAGGTAAATATACATTAGTGACACATTCAAAACCAAATCATCATAAGGTCTTAAAGATTTCTCCATAAAATCTTTATAACTCCGAAATACATACTATTGAAAATAAATTGATATATTGAGGCTGGTTTTGTGTCTGATGACGGCGTGGTAAGTCTAGAAATAAAGACGCTATCATTGACCTCATCAAAACACTACGTTTATCGGCCGACTTTCTACAACCTACGGCTGCAAACAATACTGTCATTGAGCTAATCATCTTTATTCAACGATTCCGGAATAGGATGAACAGTTTCTCCCCAGTCCAAACATTCGCACACAATAAACTTACCATCTTCCTAGNACATTAACTATTATTATATTAGGTAAATATACATTAGTGACACATTCAAAACCAAATCATCATAAGGTCTTAAAGATTTCTCCATAAAATCTTTACATATCACATTATAGCATGATAATCATTTAAATAAATAAATTTAACTAGCTGAAAATATTTTAGAATAAATAAATTTTATCGATTATTTCACATAAAACTAGATGATAATTTTAATATTTTAGAATGATCTGGAATCTCAAATTTAGTACTTTAATTAAATTTTACGAATATTGTTGTTGTTAAAAAGTATGATGCTCTTATTAAATCCATGTAAGTTAAGTATAACAAATTAGAAATAGTTTAAGACTAGAAAGGAAAAAAACTCTTTAAAGAAATATTATTTGTGGTTTATTTCATAAAATTAAAACTTGCTTGATAATTATCATAAAAATAATATTTGGAGTAAAAACACTTCTGTTACAGAGAAGCAACTTTCGATATGTATATCCAGTAGCATGTTGAGTTATGCATGTGAAGGATATTTATATTTTATGATATGTTGCTAAGAAATAGTTATAATTATCATATAATTACATACATATTATAATTATATAATAAAATGAAAGCATGTGTATATAGTCATGTAAAATCAATAAAATTATCAAAATTTATATTTCTTGAAAATAGTGATATAAAAAGAAATTTAAAATATCACAAAAATTATCACAAAAAAAGCTCATAATTCTAGTTTTGATAAATAATTATAAAATTTTAAATATTTCAATGAATCAACTTATTGATAGCATTGAATATTTTCCTTATTATATAAAATATTTCTAAATAATTTAGTTTTTAATTTTAACTTAATTTATTATTTTATTGATTTAACATATGCATTAAAACTATAACTCCTTTCAAAATATTAGAAATTTAAAACTTATTGATTAAATATAAAGAGAAATAAATTTTATAATAAAAATACATTTTAATATATACTATATATTAAATGTAAAATAAATATTAGTGTATAAGAGTATTTTATAACTTCTAATATTTTAATGAATTATATGAGAGATTTAAAATATGGTAAATGTGCGCAATTAACTATCAAATTCAATAAAATAAATATTTTTGACAAATACTTTCATCCTTCCATCAATTTTAATAGTTAACTTTTCATCAACCGATTTGTTTAGATTCTGTTAACAAAATAGATAAAAATATTTGACAAAAATAAGATATTTGTTTTGTAGTGAAATAATACAAATTAATTATTAACATTCATACTAATTTTAAATACTTCACATAAAAATTTATGTCAAATTTAAAAATTTGCATTAATAACTAATTAAAATATAGAATAATGGATCTATACTGAAAAAATATTATATGAAAATCTAAACATTTCCACACACAGATTCAAAGTACCAGAATTTACAGCATTCATAAATATCATATGAAATGTTTATAAAATATTTTTTCAGCTATATTTTGATTGTATTTTATAAAGTTGAAAAATGATTGATAGAAGTACAATAAAAATTTAGCAGTAGAAAACTGCTAATATTCAAACACTTCATTCGTCCTACTTCTTTCTGAAGTTGTCCAATAACACTGTAAGGGCTTTATAATTCTTCAGTTTATTTGTTCATTAATCTGAATAGTCATCTTGAGGTATACTGAGCATCAATTTCTGAGTACTTTTAGTAAAATTATCTTGTAATTGAAAAAAAATAAATATAAATTAATATATACATATGAAAGAATTTTATATAAAAACTATAATACAATACCATTTTTATATCTTTTACACAAGTTCAAAAATTTTACAGTGTAAGATTAATAAATAAATATATCAAAGAAAATTAAATACACAGTACATTAAAACAATTAAACACATTACATTGTTATTTATTATGGACTGATTAACAAACAGAATTTTAATTATTATTAATAATAAGTATTTACATATAATTTATTATTGTTAATCCAGAATAATTAAGAAATACAAAAACATTTCATATATAGACAAATAAAGCTAAATTATTAAAGTTGAACAAATCAACTATTTAGAAAAATACAATGCTAGATAATCATATTCTTCACTGTTTCATTAATCAATTTAACACACAAGTATAAGTATTTGTCTTTTTAAATTTTATCTTTCAATAAAAATTTTGACAATACATTATAGTTAAATTTTTGATAATTCAAAAATTTTCAATGAACTACAGTCAACCCCCCTATAACACAGTAGATACATTCCGTTTTTTATGAAATTGATGTTTTAGGAGACCTTGCCAATCACAGCCCAGCACGTGTGCAGTTTACGGACTATGGCTGTTTGAAAGGTTTTCTTCCATAAAATTAATCGATTCCTAGACTAATTCAACTCAACATTTCCAAAACACATATATTTTTTTGAGAATAATCCATATAAACTATACTATAAACAAAAAATTGTGGGATTACTTATCGAGTGTGCACCATTCAACGTCGCCATTACTTAAGCTTGTTTTCGTCGCGGAGCAGCACACCAAACGGCGGGCGCGATTTCTGATCAACGAAGTTTTCACAGAAAAATAACTTAACTTTGGAGACATCATTAATATAAGTAATTTTTATGGCCGTTGAATAAGAAGTGTTTCTTTCACAAGAAATGTATAAAATTAGTGCTGTATTAGACTTACGGTACCTAATTTACATACTGTACAGACGATAGTAAACTCAAGTTACCCGCCTAAACTCTCCATAGCATGGCGCTGGATGGCAGAAAGTAGTTCGGCTGCCCGATGACGTTTTACCAAATTATAGGAGTTTTTTTTTACCATGTTTGTACGGATACCGTCACAACTTTTTCGCCGTCATATAGGCATCCGAACTATAGGTACCCATGTTATGGGGGGTCAACTGATATTTATAAAAATTCAACTAATTTTCTGCAATTTTCTAATATTTGGCAGTATCCCATATTCTTTGGCAATATACTTTTCCTAAAGTAAATATTCTAAAACCTTGGCTGACTGTATTTAATTTTTTAAAAATATGATGAATATACAAAGTAATTGTTTTCATTTTCCTTCTGTCAGTCACACCAGGGACAGTCCAAAACAGAATTCTCATATATGTTGGATCTGGTTGGCAAACCAGAGGATGTTGTTTCCGTTGCAATAATGCAACGGAAACAACATCCTCTGGTTTGCCAGAGGACATTGTTTCCGTTGCATTCTGTTGCATTATCCGTTGCATAAAATAAAAAAAAATATTTGTATTAACCATAAAAACTCAGAATCAATATATAATGCATGGCAATCATTCTTCAATAATCCTACAGATTATTTATTACATATAATAGTCTTTTAAAATCACATTTAGTTAAGTCAGTATCAATATCATTATAATTATATTCTCTTGCTATATGTCACAATTGTTTTTGTTCATATGTATCATTAATAATGTCATCATCAGGAAATAATATATCTAACAAATAGTTAGAAACTTTATGCTAATCTATAAAGTATCTGTTATTAATTTTATATGCTTGTAATATTTGTTTAATTTTTATCTTCTCACACATTATTTTATATGGAAGACCCAATGGGTCTCCTTTACTTTGTATATCAACATATATTTTCCAACTTTCCTCTTTTTTATCTTTATTAAATTTTTATATTCTCTTCTTTTATTAATATAAGCTTCTCTTAACTTTTCTCTTAAATCCAAATCTTTTTCTTTTTGAAAATTGTATTAATTCCTTACACTACCCTCTAATAACATATTTTTTATCATCACTACTACTTAGTATCATGGCTTTCATTGCCAATGGGATGTACAGTACACTATTAACAATTGTATACGAGTGAAGTGATAATTGTGATATGGTGCAGTAGTCATACTTGGATCAGTGCTAAATTCATTAGTGGCCAATGGAGACAGATTAACATTTGAAAAATCTGCCTCACTCATCAATGCACATTTGTTAACTCAAATAACATTTGACTCAGTATTCTGCTGAGAACATGTCACAAAGATTTTTGTTTTCTCAACACTGTTTTAGGTACATAAGCAATATCTAAAGCCAAGTGTTTGTAAATGAACTGCCCCTAATGTGGTATACATATGCTGTTTAGAAGAATTAGTACCTGTCCACTCAAGTCAAATCCTGCTTGCATATCACTTTTTACTTACTATTTCTCCATAGATATTTTCGAGTCTATCATTAAATCCTTTTCACACAACCCCAGAAGACACAGTTATATTGGTTAGAAGATAAAACTTCTTTAAAAGACAAATAATAAAAGTTATACCAGTTATATATATAAAAATAACCAGTTATAAAATTTGGCAAAGGACTTGATGGTTGGTGAGAAGATTCTTAAGTTTTTAATGTAAAAAACGTCAGATCCTACAATAAAAGGCTGGCGTTTGATCATTTTTAAGCATTGTGAATTTTTTACCTTTTATTATTTGTCTTTTAAAGAAGTTTTATCTTCTAACCAATATAACTGTGTCTTCTAGGGTTGTGTGAAAAGGATTTACTGATAGACTCGAAAATATTATTATGTTTTTGTAAATAGTCTAACTTCAAAAATTAAACTATTGAAGAATATCCTGAGTTAACATTGAACATTGTAAATTTCTCCATAGACTTTATTGGCATGCATAAATCTACTAGAAATTCATGCTTCTGCTGGCACTGCTCTTCATTTCATTGGAACTAATGTATTCTTTCACCTCAACAACATGGTATAATTTATTATTACTTTGTTTTCTGATCAATGATTTCTTTTATAATTTAAGTACAGTTATTTTATCTTCCTTCATATTTGATGAGCTTAACAGCTATTAAAATTAAAAGTGATCAATTGATTCTGGTGATTTAAAATCTAACAATACAAGTTTTGGAAAATCAAATCTGGGATGCTAAATCTCAGAATCCTGCCAAATCTTTTTAACATTACTTAGTACATTTATATTAGAATATTGTGATTGGATTCTTGTTTTCTTTTAAGAAAAATAACAACTAAAACTAAATTTCAAATTAAAGTAAAGTAGGCAATAGGTTCCTTATAATTCCCATTATTTTTTATGAAAACCTGCTAGATTATTAAGGAAATCTAAAATTGACTTGTATGATAAATTTGAATACAACTAATAAGTATATCACAAATTAGATATGCTTAATTTATTAAAGTTTAATACTTAAAATATTAGATTTTTATCAAATCCTTTTGATGAAATATTCTATGAATATTCTTAGAATTCTTGGTTAGTATGTGAGGAGTGTTTTCATATTCAGTTCAAGAATCCTCATTTCATATTTATTAAACTTAATAAACAGATTTTCTATCATAAAATGACAATTATCTTTAATAGCATATTTTCCTAGAGCAGGGGTCGGCAATCTTTTGAGTCGGAAGAGCCAAAAATTACAATTTACAAAATTTCAAAGTTTTTAAAGAGCCACAAAATTTTTTCTTGCCAACAATAAATAGTACTCGCATAAAGTTTTTTGATAAAAAAAACTAATCTATTTATTCAGAATTGTCTTGCGTCAAAAGCGAATTAAACCTCATAGAAACATCCGACGACGGCGTCATTCGACAGCTTCCGACGGACTGACGACAGTGACGATGCGTGTCACGAGGGAGGGATGAGATGAAAAGCGAGTACAAGTGGCTGAGAGATAGAATCGGTGCCGAATCCTCGTTAATCGATTTAGAACGATTTTTAAACGTTTTTTTTTTGATAAAATAAATAATATTTGCGTATGGAACTAAAAAGCCGCAGCTTCACATCCAAAGAGCCGCATGTGGCTCGCAAGCCGCAGGTTGTCGACCCCTGTCCAAGAGTACTGAATTCTCTAATGAAAATTATGCCATTCAGAAACAATTTATAAATTATATTATAACAAATCATCATTATAAAATTTGTTTATAACAGTCAATTCTTAATTTGTAACTTAATTAATTCAGCAATAGTTTCATTAATTCAATAATTAATTTGATTTATTCAATTAATTCATTAATTAAATAATGTTCAATATTCAATCATTAAAAATCTTTCATTAGTTGGTAATGTTTTTGGAAAAATTCAAATTAATTCACATTATAAACATACCTAAAAACTTTTGAAGAAAAGGTGGTTTGTTTTTCCAATAAATTCCAAGAAAGTAAACAGGAATTCCAGTTAATGTGATTCCAATTCCGACACCTGTTTCCAATGGACTAACATAGAATGGTAATACCACCAGAAACATGCATACCAGAAGAAATATAACTGGGATTAAAATGTTTACCTGAAAATATAAACAAACAATAAATTTATTTTAATAAGAAATTGCCAAATAAAATGATAAGTTTAAATTCATAAAATTTTTATCTTACTTTTATTGGGCGTTGCATATCTGGATTAGAAAATCTTAATTTCAGCATGCCTGCTACTGACAATGTAATAAATGCAGATTCCACAAAAGATGTATATGTTATCAAAACATAAACTTGTGTAGTTGATAAATATGCTAGTGTCAATATTCCCTAAAAATAAAATGATTTACTTATATTTTATATCTATATCTATATATAAAAATGGACATGTATGTCCCTATATTTCACTTTTTCACCAAAACTACACATCGCACGTGAATGGTGTTTGTATGTAGTGGTAGCCCCAAGTCTCCATTCGTGCATAGGAATGGTTGCGTCTAGATAGCTATAAGGGTGCGGGAGATATGAGGCTGAAAGTGGTTGAAAGTGGCTTTCTATTTGGAATGTTTTGTTCGATTTTTTCGAATTTGTTCGAATTAAATTCAAAAATAAAATTCGAATTGGTTCGATTATAGAACGATTGAAAACGTTCCAGAAACGTTGAAATTTGTTCATTTGACTAAACGTAAAAATTCTCTAATTAGTCTGGAAACGGGGGACCTAATTCTTGCATTTTGTGAAAACGGGTAAGATTAGCTATAATGTAATTATCTTAATCTTCACTATCGTTACTTTTTGCCCAGCGAAGCGGGTCCTTGCAGCTAGATTCTAGATTACTTAGAAAAACAGTCTTTTATATATATATAAAAAAAACTATATTACATACAAATAAAAACCCAGCGAAGCGGGATCTTGCAGCTAGTATGTATATAACTGAAAACCTTAAAATCTATATTAAATTATTTGTGTAATAAAAAAGTAAATTATAATAATGAAATTTTTCAACTACACAAACTTTGTTTCCAAATATGTACATAATGTATATTCCAAATATACAAATATAGTTCTAAGAAATCAAAAATCCAAGCTATAATGAGATAGAGTAATTCTTACAAATCTATTCATCACAACTGATCATAGCTCATAGTGATAAAAACACAAGTCATATTTTCATTAATATAGTTATTCTTGCATTAATATAAGTTAGTTAATTTACAGATCAAGTATATTAATGAAATTATCAGATATACAGGTTTAGTTTGCCCATGTACAAAGTTTCTATATCTCTAATGTCTTTTTTGTTATTGTTCTTAGTCTCAAAACACTAGCATAATATGTAACTGCATAGCTTATTTAACAATGCCTGTATTCAGTGACAGAATGAAGGAATTTTACTTACTAAAAAAATAAGACTTGGTGTAGGTGTGACATGATTAATATTAATCATTGCTAAGGCACGAGGAAGATGTCCTTGACGTGCACCAACAAAAAATAATCTAAAATAAAATAATAACAAATGTTTTAATCTTATAGCAAGATTTAACATCTAATTATATTAATTATTAAATATAATACAGTCAAACCTCAGTTTTCAAACTTAATTCATTCCTAAAAATAATTAAAAATCAATTTGTTCTAAAACCAAAATAAATTTTTCCATAAGAAAGAATATAAAATGGATTAATTTGACTTCAATTTTAATAGTATTTTTATTTTTAATTTCAGTTTCAAGGTTTAATTATTACTTTTAGTGTTAATTAACTGGCTACTTGGCTACTAGTATTAATAAACATTAAATTTTAATATTATATTAATAAATTGTCATCATTTAATTTAACTTCAGCACTTTTAAACACGAATTCCAGAATGCTATTTATATTACATGAATGTCAATTAATGTGGCTTTCATTAATTAATTTGATTTAAATTCAACTGTGGCACATATCGAAAAATGGAATAGTATCTTTTGCACATGCATTGAAATGTAATTTAAGTAGCAACATCAATGATGATTTGTATCATGGCGCAAGGCGATCTTGGCACCACTAACTTCTGATATGATAGTCTTGTCATTGATTGGTCAGGCCGTCGACTTTCTTTAACATAAGTAGTATAAAGACTTGACCATTGGTGGCCAGCTCTGCTGAGTAGCTTGTTCAACAATGGGGCAAAATAGAGTTCAAAATTTTTTTCATAAACCAAATTGTTTGAAACCTGAGGTTTAACTGNGCAGGACTTGTAAAATAGTCTGTAGTAGCAGGAGTCTGTTACAGTGTATAAGTTTTCTTATAATTTTCCTATACTTTTGGTCAGACTGACATCACCTTATTAATTACTTTAATGTTGGATTATCATTACATAAACATTTTTGAACATAATTGATTTCTTTTCATTCCAGTAGAAAAAATAAAAGAAAAAGTGGCTGAAATAACAATAAATGGCAAAAATATCTTAATATCAAAAAAATTATTTAACTATTCAAACCTTTTCCAGCAAAATTATTTAATTATCTAATGTTTTTGGCCGCCCAAGCAGTCATCGTCGTGGTATACTGAATAGAACATGACATACAGAGAAATACATAGATTTGAATATAAACAGAATACACGAATTTCAAAAACATTATTTGAATTTTCTTTTAAAAGAACTGTTAGAATGTCAGTTAGAGCTTAAAGTTCAAATCTTGTTAAACCCAAGCAGACCTATGAAAAGAGGTGGAAAAGGTTGGTCTAAATAAATTAGAGTTATGCTGAAAAGAGTACAGTATTTGTGTTTTCAAAAAAATATAAAAGATTTATATGGTAACACTTTTAAGCCTCTTTTTATACATTATGAATTTAATCATGTATAAGAACAACATTTTTTAATCATTTACTATATAACTAATATATACAAAAGTTTTATCATAATTACATTTTAATATGAATGGTTTGTCTTGCATTGAAGTTAAATGATAAAAGGGCAAAAGAAACAAATCATTTTGGAATACATGCTATTGTTTTAAACTTTCATTTATGAATTACAATGTAAGAAAAGTAGTGTATTCACTTATGGATTAGCCTCAGATAATGCAAAACCTCAGTTAATCAAGAATTGGATAATTGGGATTCTACTATACATAGAGTGGCCAACTTTCAAAGTAACAAATTCTAAACACATATGAAAAAACTATAGCTATGCAAATAGTAAGTTTCATGATTTTGGATAAAGAAAGGTCAACTCTGCCAATGTGGATCAGGTTTCCTGTGATTGTAAAAAAAAGATGACAAGGAAGACTACAAGAATATTTTTACTAGTATAAGACTATTATTTGTATTTTTTTACAATGTGATCAAAAGATCTATTTCTATGTTTTATTTTTTAATCACATTTAACAATATATAATTTTAGCATTATTCTCATATTTGTCAAACTATAATTAATACAGTAGAACCTCGATTATCTGGACTAATTGGGGATGAAGGTAGTCCGGATAAGGAAAAATCCGGATAATCGAAACAAATAGTTTAATTTCGATGACATATCGGTAATATTAAATCGTGATCAAATTTTCAAGAAACAAACGTTCATATTGAATTTGGACTACGACTGACCAGCGCTAACAGACTACCTATTGTTTAAAAGGCCCTCTGGTGGCGCAAGAAGACGGATTTTATAAAATAAAAAGCAGTTGAAACTGCATTTTTATGACGAGCAAAATTTTTTAGTCGCGTTCACGGCTTTTAAGTAATGCATAAACCTTTGAGGCGCGAGGCCCTTCAGACCGCGAGACGTAGGCGGTGGCCCACGTCGTCCATGCCTTACGCCACCCTTGGTCATAGAAATGATGTAATTTGAATATAAATTATTTATAAATACGTATGTCAAATTATATTTTTATTACTACGTAAAATATATTTAAGAGTTTACGACCACTGTGCTGGATGAGGCGTTGTTGAAACAAAAAAGTTATGCTTTCCATCACGTACATAAACTGTCGTAATTCGCCAATTGCAAATCAGCAAATTCGTAAAATTTTTGTTTATTTTGAACAATCCGGATAATCGAAAATCCGGATAATGGAGGTCCGGATAATGGAGGTTCTACTGTATT